CCATAAGATGGATGGATGGATGGATGGATGGATGGATGGATGGATGGATGGATGGATGGATGGATGGATCAAACTTTGTCAACATTACTTCACTACTTTTACTAGTCTCAGTCTAATCTGGTCATTTAATCTGCACAGACAAGATTAGTTTTTCTATCTGTGAGATGCATCTGTGTGCAGTAACGTCACAAATTTAACTGAATTTGAGTCGTTTCTATAAGGAACTGAGGTTTTTTTTATTAGCAATTCAACTGAATTTTTGTCAATACTGTTTTTGTTGGTTGGTTTGTTTGTTTTGTAGAAATGCACTTTAACAAGATGCAAAGGCATACAGTAAGTTTGAAATTTGGTGATGTAAGCAACTGAGCCTTTCAGTGAGTTCCACAGTTTACATAACTGAACTCACATGCAAATCACTCTCCCTCACTGGCTGTCCAAAACTTAAAGAGCAGTTCCAAATTTATCCCCATGTCAGTTTTACGTCAGTCTACATCTTCATGCATTTGACTGAAACATGGCTGACAAAAACCATCAGGAGTGAGGGGAGGGAGTATGATTTGCTGATGAAGCTCACTTGGATTTCTGTACCTTTCAGTTTGAACTGAGAACACTCCTTGGACGAGAAGCAAAAAGGTCTTCAAAAGACAAGACAATAAGTGTATTTATCTTTAAAACAAAAGTTTTTTGCTCTACAAAACACTGATAAAACACATTTTGTCTCCTGATGGAAAGTGCTGCATTTCTGTACTCAATATTCTGACTCAAGTTAAACTTGCACAGAGATGAACTTGTGTGTTGATGTTAAACCAGTCAGAAAAGCAGGAAAACGGTCACCTCTGACCCGTTTTCCTCAATCCTTCACATTTTGTTTGGTAGGCTCACGTTGATCGCTCAGCAGCTGTTCAGACACTGATCCTCACCCACAGCTGAACGTGGTAATAAGACAAAGGAAACGACTTCAAATGCAACATTAACACAAAAGACAAAACGTGGATAGATTTAGAGTTTTACTGAAAGCAGGGACTGCATGAGTTCTCTCAAAATGCATTCTTCTGTCTCTCTTTTCAAAGGTACTGGATGCCGTCACTCGACTCGAGCTCGACATGCACTCGACGGGAAGAGCACTGGATGTTGAGTACTGCTCGCCTCCCACTCTGCCCAGAAAAGTGCTTTCCCATCCCAGCGTTTGTTACAACACACATGAAATTTTGGTCCGAAGTGAGATTTTTGCCACACGACAAAGACATTTTGACAACGTATTGTAATCTTAACGTCATAACCATTTATGAGATGGATTACCTGATTTCAGCACTTTTGTCTTCATTTGCCTAATTTATTCTTCTCTCGCGAGCACCTTGAAGCATCGCCAACACGATGGCTCATTTAACTGGGGCGTCATTCCCGCTATGTTTTCAGAAGATGGACTTAATTAGATCATTACTCTAATGGTTTCCATGAGAATGCCATGATGACACTTTTCTTCTTGTAACCAGTGGTGTGCTTCAGACCACCTTTAAAGCTCAGGACAGTGCCCAGTACCAGTGAAGTGTCTGAGCTGATGGGTCCTTTGCCGGACAACATGACCCCAGCTTCTTTGAGCCAGAACTGCTCCAACTGCAGCCACTTCTTAGTCCCAGGACTCAGCATGGTGAAAACTGTGGTTCTGGGCATGGTTCTTGGTGTGTTCATCCTCTTTGGAGTCATCGGAAACATCCTGGTGATCCTCTCTGTGGTTTGTCATCGACACCTGCGGACAGTCACGCATTACTTCATCGTTAATCTGGCCGTGGCGGACTTGCTGCTGAGCTCCATCGTGTTACCCTTCTCTGCCGTTTTTGAGATTCTGGGTCGTTGGGTGTTTGGACGAGCTTTTTGTAATGTTTGGGCAGCTGTGGACGTGCTCTGCTGCACAGCTTCTATCATGAGCCTCTGTGTCATCTCCGTTGACCGCTACATCGGAGTCAGTTACCCCCTGCGATATCCTTCCATAATGACGAAGCGCAGGGCTCTGCTAGCTGTGATGCTGCTATGGGTGCTCTCTGTCGTCATATCCATCGGACCCTTGTTTGGTTGGAAAGAGCCAGAACCAGAGGACGAGTCTGTCTGCAAAATCACAGAAGAGCCAGGGTACGCAATCTTCTCAGCTGTGGGCTCCTTCTATCTTCCTCTGACCATCATACTGGTCATGTACTGTCGGGTTTATGTTGTAGCTCACAGAGAGAGCCAGGGCCTGAGAGAAGGCCACAAGACGGAGAAGTCGGACTCGGAGCAAGTGATTCTCAGGATGCACCGTGGAAACACAACCGTGTCTGAGGATGAGGCCCTTCGCAGCCGTACTCACTTTGCCTTGCGACTGCTCAAGTTCTCACGAGAGAAGAAGGCAGCAAAGACCCTGGGGATTGTGGTGGGATGCTTTATCTTGTGCTGGCTGCCCTTCTTCCTGGTTCTTCCCATTGGTGAGTAACATTGTGTTTATCTTGCATGTGATTTCTAAGTTTGTGAGCCAAATTTTGCCTAAGGCTCCACTCATACCTGGCAGTAACATCCATCCTGGTCTTGCATTCAGACGACACTAAACAGAAGCATGAACGCTCTCAGGATGGAGTGAGGACATGTTTATTTGTCTGTAGATGGGACTGATTTTACTGCCAGGTGCGAACACTGACACTAAAGGTCCCTACATACTCCATCCAAAGCAGCCAAATCGGCTCTCATTGACATAGTTGTGTGATGAAAACCGCGCCATTTTGTTCTTCGAGCAGCTTCGCCCACCCCTGCTCAACACAAGGCCTGGATTGAACTTTTTGCCACAGGCATATGCGCCAAGTATTTGTAAATAGAAGTTTGTGGGCGTGTTCGTCAATGCAAAAATGCACTCAACGAGTGCGACTGTTCAAACACTAAATTAGTCAAATGGCCAAAAACTCCTGGATGGAGATCGTGCAGACATTGAGTATGGAGGAGTCCGTCTGCTGAAAAGTGTGGCACTTTCTTCATGATAGATTTGTGGCCAAACTGCATCTGCAGGGACTGAGTGGAGGCTCTGGTAGGAAGAAACCTATTCGGTGACACATCCTGGAGTGGGAGGGGTTTCCCAGGTGGTCTGTGTCACATGGCTTGTGGACTATGAAAGGTGTTTGCAAAAACTAATGTCGTGCAACCATGTGACTGTGAGTCGACTGTTCGTCTTCAGATGGAGTATGCTGGGCCCTTTAGACCTGTCCACTTCTTATCAGATCAGCCAGGATGGATGTTCATGGCAGGTATGAACAGGGCCCGAGGTCTTTGTAATGCCTGTACCAGAGATATAGAAAGACCCAACATGGTATCAAAACATTTTATCAACCTTCATGGAAACTCTTTGGATTTCTTAAAATAATTAATACATGTTTTAATCTTATCTCAAGCAGCCAGCATTCTTTAAGCCAAAATAAAGTCGACCAGAAGAAATTATTCAGTTTATATATGGAATGAGGGATGACCCAGCGTTGGTCCAACACAAACAGTCCTGGTGCTGTAAATCACCAAAGTCCGGGTAACTCATGGTCTATCAGGAAGTCACTCTGCTAAATTTAATTCTAAGCCCCACTGGCTCAAAATACTCCTCATCCAAAATATTTAGTGATTTATTTGCTGAAGAAAGCCTAATTAAATGACACTTGACTTCCTGGGATGTTGACATATCCTATTTGGCATAACTCACTATGGAATACAATGCAATAATAGCTTAGAAAAATCTTCAAGTCTTTATGCAGATTTTGCCACTTATAGTCAGACCAAGTTGAACTGTTGCCCATGAAATTTGCTTTATTTTCAATCTGTTTGCTGAATTAAGTCAAACTAATATTATTTTGTGTCTAATTGACCCTTCTGTATAACAATAATTATCTTTCCCAAAATGTCAGTGTCCAAAAAAGCGCAGATGGTTTATTTCAAGCATTTAAACCATCATCCATGATTATTATTCAGTATATTTGACCACTTATGTGAGTCAGAACATCTTCAGAGAACTATTAACCCCCTGTATTAAATCGTTTTTACAGATGCACCCACTGATCTGTGCTGCTGCCAGCTTTTAAAGTGCTTGCACGTTAAATGGTCAAACGGAGGTAATTAAATTACTCCTTTGCAGGATCACACTGAAGTTACAAGGATCCAGACAGGCCTTGTAGTCCTCTCGATCAGCGTGCACTTGTAAACGTAACAGCGGACGCCCTAAAAATAGACCTCATAAATCTTTTATGCCTCTGACGTCCCACTGTCCTCTCCGTGTGTAAACAAACTGAGTATTTCAGACTGACACGTATTTAAGACAATGTCTTGTCTCACTTGTCAGAGCAGCGCTCTTCTCGCGTCCCTTCTGTCCACACTGTTTGTGACTCACCCCATCACAGTGCCGTCCCTTCGGTGACAGATAAGACCACCACTGTGGAGTCAGAACTCATATGTTGCTCCATGTGTTGGATGAAAACTTGAATAACGGAGAGAAGGAACAAATCCCTGGTGTGACAGCTCTTCGAACGTCATTGTTAACAATATGAAGAAGATCTGAAGGGGTTCAGAACCCTCACACATCCTGTTCGTGCTTCACTTTACCCCATGCCCTCCTGCTTATTATTATAGCTGCCACCATTTGGTTCCAGGTTGGAAAAGAACCTGAGCTCAGCAGTACTCCAGAGCTCATACCTCATGTCGCATAAGCCTGTGGAGGACTACATGTATAGATTTAGCGGTGACTCAAAGGTGTGACATGGAGCCAGCTCATTTAAGATTGACATTGTTATGTCATCAGAGAAAAATAAAGCGTGGGACTTTGAGGTAATCTTTAAAATGTCGAGCTGTGAGGCCTGATGTTTATTTGTCTCCAGCTCTCCCCATAAGTTAGAAGTCTCTCTGCAAGGTTATTTAAACTGTAAAAGGATCTGCTAATCACATTACCTTGGTGTTAATTAAGGTCATTACTAGAAGCGATCAGAAGTTTACATACACAGGCATGAATGTCAGATTATTGCAGGCTCTCGATGTTTGATTTGGACTGTTCACTCTCCAGAGCGAGTAGTTAAACACCACATAACCTCTTTTTAACAACAAGAACTGAGCACACAGCGATGAGTTTATTGTGGATTTTCTCTAATCCACACAAGGTTGAAATTGTACATGGTCTTTATTGAGCATGGACTTTGTTGTTATACACGGTCTTGAACCCTTTTTGTGATTACTTTTGTCTTCCAGGCATGTTTCATTTGTTCCCTGTCAGCTACTTTCATGATTTAACTTTTGTGTCTTGCCTGGATCTTTGACAGCTTATCTGTGTGATCTCCCTTATTTTATATTTTTCTAGTGTTCTGTCCTTTCTTCTTCTTTTTGTTATTTTCCAGTTTGCTTCAGAACTTAACTACGCTTCTTATTCTTTGGATTTTTGCATTTCTCAAATTACTAAAAGCAAGGTTTTTGTTTGTTTGTTTGTTTGTTTGTTTTTTAAAAAGCACCCGTCTTAGAAGACTGCATATTTTTTGTATACAGTTTACCATAACTGAGAATCACTTGCCACTTTAATTCACATTTTGAATATGATGCAGTGAAAATTTTGTTAAAAACTAACTTAATGTTGCGCAGAAATTTTTTACACTCACGTATACATTTTGTAGTATGAACATATGCATGATATATTCATAAATTAAACGGACTCTTTCATTTTTCTGGACTGTATAATGACGTGCATCTGAATTTAATAAAATGTGGACGGAAACGTTAATTATCTTTGACTCACCAACGACAGTGGGTCATTTATTAACAGAATCAAGTTTAACACATCACACATTTACATTAATTGGCAAGAATTGAAAATAACGACAGCTTATTAATCAGTTTTACAGGAAGTAAACAATACTGCGATTGTCTTCTCACTTCCAGCAGAACAACAAACGTCAACGACACGGCGGTGATTGAAAAACTTTGCTTCAGACATTTCTAAAAATATCTGTAATGATTTTTAGCAGATAGAAGAATTTTAAAGATGGGAAATTAAGTTTAAGTTGAGAGAGATGTGAGGGAATTTGTCTGTCCTAACCAGAACCAGCACGCTCCTTCTTTTCCAGCTTGGCCCAACGGTACGCTTAGTTGAGATCGACTCTTTTACCTTTGCAGATGATAGTTTCAGCGTTGGTGTAGAGCTCTCCTTTCAACTCTTTCAGCGTCTCCATAAGAACAGCTAAACCTCGGGAGTCGTGAGATCGTCCAGAACAGAAATTTCATAATTCCCAGATCTTCTCTGGTTCAGCTTGATTTTCTTTCATCAGCATCCTGAATTCCAGCCTTCATGACCTCTGGAACTGCTGAGTACTAGGAAGTGGAACCTCTTGCAGCACTCTCCAACATCAGCTGACCCTAGCTTACAACTAACTGGGTTGAACTAGGAAGTGCCAACATTTAAAGGGCTCTATTTCCGGTTCATTTGGGAGTTTCTGATTGGTCGATGGACCAAAACAGAGGTGTGTTTTGTGATGTAAGGTGTTATGAAAATTCAAGGAAAAAGATTAAGATTGTTTAAGAACAGACAGAAGATTGTTATGAAGAAATCAGACTTCGTGGAGTCAATTCTCTAGTATCTTGCTGTAAAAGTTAAACATGACATTTCTTTTTCAGTAAACTTGCAGTTGACCGAAACTTGAACTTTGACCAACTTACACACTTGCTCACTGAAGACAGAAAATCAGACAATACATCATTAACCTGATTTCTTCTTTGAATGAGGATTAAAAATCGTCATTACTGCTTCACAGTTAATAAAAATGAGTAGTTCACTTCAACATTTAAACATTGTTTGAACTAACACAATTTGATTATCAAACATTTGTAAAATAGTAATGATAATCGAAAGTAGTCTTCTTTCACTTGATTAATTTAAGAAAGAAAGTCTCAGGATGGGTCAACCTGTATTTCTGGATGCAAATCAATGAAATGACAAGTTCTGTCCCATAAGGTCCTTAAGGTCAAGGTTTTGACATCAGGCCTAATTCACTACAATTTCAAAAATGATTTGGTGAACAACTGGAGCAAAAATAAAACCTCACAACTCGTCACATTAAATGAAATAAATTAAAATCAGAGGATCATCTGTTTCTAATCGGAGTTCATGTCCACCCACAACATATTTCCAGAAAGTTTTTAATGTGCCACATCTCTCATGGTTTGTTGGCCAGGTCATTATTGAAAATGTGCATTTGTTCTCAGCTGACTAATGAAAGTCTTACTAACTTTTTACTCCAAAGAATAAATGTTATTCCTGAAGATTTTCTTCTGTGGTTGATAGTTTGGACAACTGTTACAGCTTTAGCTTTGCTGGAACAGATGCCAGCAAATAGACCAAGCAAGGAGATCCCCCAACACTGATGATTCCACAGCAACTTAATAATAACAGGGAACACGAGGTTTGATTGAGGAACTATTGAATTGA